TACTGACTTACTTCAGTTATCCTTTCATCTGATTGCATGTTAGCACTTCTTATAATCAGTCCACTTATCTCTTTACAAGTGGCACACAAGTCAGACATAGGCTTCATTTTTTCAATATAAGGCAGGTAGCGTCGCCACAACATGTTGAATGTTGTTTCAGCACATGCTTTGACATAAAGCCCTTCACATGATTCCGCATACTCTAAGTATACCTGCCTTTTAGATGTACTGCATGGTAAGAACTTCTTATTCTCGTAACTTTTCATTCCAGGTATTCTTCCAGGAAGACTGATTCCATGGACTTCAGCGTAATTTCTGATGAAAGCAACAACCCGGAGAATATCATCATAAGTCAAAGCATGGTTTGGTGTCTTTCCAGCATTTCCGTGAACTCTAATAAAGTTAAGTACATAACATTGAATTTGTGTCCATTCATACCTTGGTATTAATCCATTCATTCTGTAGTTTTTTATGATTTCCTCAAACCTTTTGCCACATGCATGTAGCTTGAGAAATGTTACTCTACATATCTAGTTGAAAAACAATTAATTTTGTGTTGTGTCACTCATAGTTACAAACCTTATGACCTTGATGCATAAACGTAAAAAATTGCCTCTTTCTCTCTTTCTGTCTCCTGTGGTTGCCAGTCGACAATCCCCCCATGGTAGATGTTGCTGCCATTTGACTCATAATAGCAGTTTCTTGAACAGGCTAGGCTTTGCCATGGCTTATATGTCACATCTATATGTTTTTATGTAAGAGTGACTGAACAGTGCATAGCAATTATCTGAGCAACCACATCCATGTTCAAAGAACTTTGATAATTCTTCCTCCTGTAGGTCTTCCTTTCTCATGTCATCACCAGAGTGAGTAGTTGAAGTAGCTGGAGCATCAGGCATCGCTGATTCTAAATCAAGATCTGATACTTGTAGCTCCACAGCCACCTCAGGATCAAACAGTGGTGGATCAATATCTTCATCACAATCTTTTGTCTCTTTCTCTTCTTCTTCCATATCTTCTACTGCTTCATAGTCTGTCTCTATCAATTAACAAATACACTGTATAACTAAGTTTAATATAATAATATTGTGCATTTATACAGGTGATGGAATGTCATTGTTGTGATAGCTAACCGCTATTCACAGTTAGTATGTAAACAGTGTTCTGAATAAGCTTACCACTATACTAGGGCCACTTTGACTTTTAAATCTGCATAATGTAATAACTTTCTTATTTTAAATGCTACAGACAGCGGTTTTTTTGCAATATGATCCTCTCTAAAACCCCGGTATTTTGATATATGATACAACTAGAGCGCAGTTATAGAAAAGGAGAAGTAAAATCAAAGCACATGGACACTTGAAGAGCACTTGACGCCATTACTACCACCCACGTGCTGTTATCGCGTAGGCGGATAAA